CTCTCTTACAAAGTGACAATCGACCTCAATATGCTTTGGTCTCTCATGGAAGACTGGATTAGAAGAGATGTGAATAGTTGCTTGATTATCACAGTATAGTCCCATGGGTTTGTCAACTGAGAACCCCATCTCTTGTAGCAAGTTCTTCAACCATACTAGTTCACATATGGTATGAGCCATAGCCCTATACTCAGCTTGTGCACTGCTCCTTGCCACCACTGTTTGTTTCCTACTCTTCCAAGTTATAATATTGCCACCAAGGAAGGTACAATACCTTGTAGTTGATCTCCTGTCTGATATAGAACCAGCCCAATCAACATCTGTATACCCTACTATCTCAAGAGTCCCTCCACTTTTGTATAGCAAACAACGACCTGGAGCACCCTTCAAATACCTAACAATCCTTAGAACTGCTCACCATACTCACACAAATGATATATCTAGCCGGGTAATAGTTAGTTCAACTTTCCACCAACCTCCTGTACCTTCCAGGATCATCAAACTCTTCACCTACATCAACACTCAACTTGACATTCAGTTCCATAGGAGTTTCAGCTGGTTTAGCACCTAACAGTCTTGTTTCTTCAAGTAGGTCAAGAACATATTTTCTTTGACATAAGTTAATTCCATGCCTTGACCTTGCAACTTCTATTTGCAGGAAGTAGTTCAGCTTACCCAAATCTTTTGTATTGAAGTGGTCCTGTAGGAATTTCTTCAACTTGTCAATCCCATTACTGTCACTCCCAGTTATGACAATATTGCCCACATACACCACTAGCAAGATTTTCCCATCTTTTGAATCATGGTTGAACACAGAATGATCTACCTGACACTGTTTCATCCCAAAGTTCTTCACTACTTCACTAAACTTGCCAAACCATGCGCGTGGAGATTATTTCAGTCCATAAATTGCCTTTTTGAGTCTACAAACCTTACCATCCTCCCCCTAAGCAACAAACCCTGGTGGTTGCTCCATATACACCTCCTCAATGAGATCACCATGTAGGAAGACATTTTTGATGTCAAGCTGTAAGAGAGGCCAATCATACATAGCGGCCAATGAAATCAACACCCGAACTGAAACAAGTTTAGCCATAGGAGAAAATGTCTCCATATAGTCCACAGCCCTTGACCACTAACCTGGCCTTCAATCGTTTTACACTGCCATTTGGAAGATACTTCACTGTGTAGACCCACTTACACCCAACAACATGCTTACCARGAGGAAGAGTAGTGAGTTCCCACGTGTGATTGTGTTTGTAGAGCATATAGTCTTTCTTCCATTGCTTCCCACCACCCTAGGGAGGTAAGGACTTCCTGGGCAGTTTTGGGAATGGAAACAGAGGATAGCAATGATATAAAGTTGCGATGGGAAGCAGAAAGGTGAGCAGCTGAAACATAGTGTCAAATAGGATGAGAAGTACAAGTGCGTTTACCTTTCCGCAGTGCAATAGGAAGATCAAGGTCCGAGGGAGAAGGTGCAACCACAGGATCTGTCGACGAGGACTGAATTGGAGGAGGGGCCGATGCTCTTCTGTAAGTATACACTTGTCTGATTAGTGGCCTCTTAGTAGTAACTAGCACGGGAGGGGGATCCGCAACTGGAATAGCAACGACGGGAAGAGGATCCTCAATAGGGATAAGAAGTGGAACTACAGGGGAAGGAGAAGGAACCACAKTGTTCGAGAAAAATGGGACCGATTCAAAGAAAGTGACATCGGAACACACAAATGACTTATGAAAGTTAAGGTTATAGCACTTATACCCTTTTTGAGTCCTGGAGTATCCAAGGAAGATGCATTTAGTAGCTCGGGCATCTAATTTGTTTAAACCAGGCCCCAAATTTTGAACAAAACAAACACACCCAAAGACTCTCAGGGTGAGAAGAAACGGAGACAGTGGGAAACAAAACTGAGAAGGGGGATTGACTTCCAAGGATGGACATGGGCATCCGATTGATGAGAAAACATGATGTGAGGACAATATCACTCCAAAAACGTTTTGGGACATTCATATTAAGCATCATAGACCGAGTAGTTTCAAGTAGATGTCAATTTTACCGTTCAGCTACACTGTTCTATTGTGGGGTGTAGGAACAAGAAGTTTGATGAATTATCCCATGGTGCTCTAAGTATTGCTAAAATGGTGTTGAGGTGTACTCTTTTGCATTATCGGAGCAAAGAATTTTAATATGAACACCAAATTGGGTACGTATTTTAGCATAAAATTTTTGAAAAATAGAGAACAATTCACTGTGATCTTTCATAAGATAGAGCCATGTCATCCTTGAAAAGTCATCAACAAAAATTACAAAATACTTATAACCATTGTATGGCATTACTTTAATTGGACCCCAAACATCAGAATGAACTAAAGAAAAAGAACTCAAGACACAACTATCAACTCTCGGACTAAAAGAAACTCTATGATGTTTCCCAATGACTCACGATCCAACAATGAAAGATGACTTAAGGAAGGAACCAACAACTTCAGAGCCTTGAGAGAAGGATGACCAAGTTTGTAGTGCCATTGAAGAGGAGTAAGAGACGACTGGAATGCTACTGAGTCTTGAGATCCTAAAACACACAAGAAGAGGGATAAAAGGTTATGGAACAATTAAGTGGCTTGGTTAATCTGCTAACAGACATAAGGTTAAAAAGGAACTTGGGAACATATAAAACAGATGATAAAGATAAAGGAGGAAAGATCAACATCACCAACACCACAAATAGGAGATGTAGAACCATTAGCAAAAGTAATTGTTTGAGATGTGGAGGACAGAGAAAGTGAAGAAAATACATTTGGCGTCCCAGACATATGATCCGAGGCTCCAGAGTCGATGATCCAGTGTGAAGGCTTGGAAGCCAAGCAAGCCATACCTGAATGGGCAGGGGTAGTTGTGTTCTGCTGAGAAGATGCCTGAAGGAACTGCTCATATACCACACATGGTACACTCACCATCTCCCTCCCAGAAGCACTAGTAGATGTGGAGGGGGTCTAATCAGTTTGCTAATTTTCACTAGTTGTACCACTACCCCTAGTCACAGCATGGTTAGCCCAAGTGTTGGGTGGACCATGTAAATCATAGTAGAAATTATTAGTGTGTCCCTCTAATCCACAGTATGTACACTTCCTAGGAGCATTACTTCTTCCTTTATCATGACCTCCTGAGTCTTGACCTCCACTTCGGCCACCAGCACGGTTAAACACGGGACCACCTCGGTTACTTGGAAGTYCACGACCACCACCTCTATTTCCACAGCCTCCCCCTCTAGTCACCACCAAACCAGATCTGTCTGAGAGAGAAGAATACTTTGTAGACTCAATAGATGTCCTCGTCACCACCAAACCAGATCTGTCTGAGAGAGAAGAATACTTTGTAGACTCAATAGATGTCCTCCTAAGACGGGCAAACACTTCTTCAAGTGAGGGAGGAGCAGACCCCCCCCCCCTAAGTATTTGTGCTCGAACGGGTTCATATTCAGCCTTCAAACCCACCAGGAACCCCGTCACATCAACTTGTTCTCGTTGTTGTTGCTGAACCTGAACATTCGGTGTCAGTGGATGATATACGTTAAGCTCATTTTGGATATTTCTCAGACTTGCATAGTATTCCTCCAAGCTTTGATTGCCTTGCTTCAGATTAAAGTACTCTTGGTACAACTGATACACCCTAGYTGTATTGTCTTGTTCGGAATACAGTTTCTTAGCATGGTCCCAGATTTCTTTAGTTGTATCTAGGAACATAAAGTTCACACTGATTTTAGGTTCCTTGCTATTCCACAACCAAGTCATAATTTGAGCATCCTCTTGCTCCCAATCACTGAACCCTAGAGAGTYAGAGGAAGGTTTTTCCTCTTTCACATGCTTTACCTTCTTCTTGGCCTTTAAGAACACCTCCACAGACTTGGCCCACAGCACATAGTTCTCACTATCAACTTAATAGATGTCATTTGAACATTTAAATAATCTGGAGAGATCATAACACTAGTTTTGTTGTCACTACCATCTCCGGCTGACATCATTTTCAACCAAATCTCCTCACTTCACAAAGGAATCAATTTTATAGACAAGGTTTTTACCTTCAACTATTCCGAATCAATCCACACACTACTACAGCATAAACACTACTACACTACTGCTGTCGTGAACTTCAGCAACTGGAAACCCTACTTTCAACGCACATACCCAGGTATAAACAGAGGAAAAAGGGACAGATATGCATACTAATCACTTCACACCACCACAGAAATATATTCTAGACCAAAACACAGCATTCGCAGTCCACTACTTGGGCGAAAAAAAGAAAATTGTTCATACCTGTCCACAAACAGCCCTCTTCGTATCACAGAATAGAGGGCATCTAGTACACCACTTAAACGACCACCACCACAGCAACTGGAGGCATACTTACCTCCAAAAATACAAAACGACCACTCCTTTTTGGCCTCTTGTCGAGCTTCCAATCAGGCTAGGAGAAAATTGATGAAATCTGATATGGCTGGCGGCGAACCCAGGAAGAAGAAAGGGTGATGAGGAAAGAAGAAAAAGAAGAAAGTAAACTGGGTTTTATTGCTCTGATACCATGTGAATAGCCCTATTCAGTTCTAGGTTAAAGTAGAGAAGAAGAGGAAGAAGGAGAAGGGTTCAGCCAGTAGAGGAAAAGTTAACCCTCACTAGTCGACCCACTTGTATTTATATCAAATAAACTCAGTTACAAGAAAGACAATATTGTCCCTTATAAGTGATGGGACGCAAAACTTAAACTTGAATAAAACAGACCTTTCACTCTCAAATAGATAAACCTAAAAGACCAAAATACCCCTGTTCTGTGAACTCTAACACATTCAACATATTACATTTCCCTGCTTATATGGATTTCAAATGTATTCCTGCCTCCTTTGCCCACTCCTCTCCCTTTTTATTATTCTAATTTATTTTGTTCATGGTTTATAGCACCAATTGCTCAAGTTTGCTGATAATATACTTGTCAATCACAGAAGAGAAACTCTTGCTGGTCAGGAGATTGCAAGTCTCTTCCGCCTGGTAGCTGAATATATTGTTTGGAAAGATTGGATGCCGAAGTTGTTGGCTGAGCTTCCTTCTTTACCTAGAGTATCCAGAATGCATACAACGGCCACAAAGAGATAAGGATCTCTTTGAACAGTTCCCGGTCACTAAATCAAGGTTCTTATCATTCTGAGTAGCCCTCTCCTCTCTGTTGGTAAATCCAATAACTTTTCAATCACCTTGGAGCACCATGGTTCCTTCTTTTGCAGGTTTGATAATGGGAAGGTGCACACCTATTAACACAGCCCCAAATGGAAATGCACTATGTATCCTTTAAAAGTGTTAAGAGGAATAGGCATCATAATGTCATATATTTATGCAACATTGCCTTTGCATCAATGTTCTTATGGTTATTTCTTCTTCTTTTTGCAATGTTCATATGTCATACTTCATTTGTATTCAATGATAATATAGAACATATGTTAATAATCCCCCAAACAAAAAGCCATCTGTTAATAATCATGTGTGCAAGGTAGTCTAATTTTAGAAGCAGAAATATTTGCTTATCAAAACCTACTAAGCTGATGTCTATGCTGAATGTTTACAAATTTACGTTACTAAAACATCCTGAAAACTTCTATTTCCATCTTAGAATATCTTGATGTGTGAAGTAGTTGATGTTGAACAACATCAACCATTTGATTTGTGGGGATAACAAATCATAGATACAGGTTCTGGTGGTGCATTACATATGCGAGCATGAAAATATTGTTTTGCATATGCAGCCAAGGATTTGATGGCACCAAAGAAGAGAAAAATAGGCGATGACAGAACAAGCACACAAATGTAAAGATTTATGTGAATTGACAAAATGTATATTTCTACAGGTGAAAATGATCAAAGAATTCTACTTTATCAAAAGGAAATTATATCGAGGGACCAAACCTGACAAGAATGATWAGGAAAAAACTTTCTTCCTAAGAACAATGTTTTTCCCTAAAACAAATTTCTTCTCAAAAGACTACTATAATATCTTATAAAATTAACCTTACAGCATAAAGCCAACTATTTTTTGATGATCCAAAATAAAAGCCATGAACTTGAAACATGGGATGTAGTCATGCAGACATGTAGAAGAAACCCAAAAGCTTCTCACCATAAAACACCCCGAAGGCATACATTTGTAATAATATAAGATCTCTTTTCCTTATACAATATTACCTGAAAGAGACTTGCATTATTTGTAAATGGGCACAGAATTCTAACAATCTCCACATTGTCTTAAACTACTGTTGTGTTTGGTATCTTTGCCGTTTCTTTAGGTTGGGGTTGATCAATAGAAATTGGTGTCAAAATATGAATTGTTATCTCAGGTAGTCACAACGTTTTGGGTTAATAAATAGAAATTGGTGTCAAATATAAATTGTCATGTCGCATAATCAGAAATATTTTGGGTTGGTAAATACAAATTCCTTTATTACCTGAAAATGTCAAATTTGTTGTTTCAACTCTAATCAGCAAAAATCAGGCCCCCACGTGCTTTTTTTAGGCCCATTGCAAACTTCTGAATCCCACGTGTTTATTTTAGGCCCCCACGTGCTTGTGAATTGGCATCAATTTCGAACTAGCACCTACCCCAAATGTATTTTGGGCCTAAAATTTCTGACCCTGGGCTGAACTGTCATTCTCCTTTTTTTTTCAGTTGAAGTGACTATCTTATGTGATGTGACAACTTTCTTGGTCAGCAATTTCTATTGATCAATTCCAATCTTCGAAACAATATATCGTGCGAGGGTAAGGCTGTGTACATAGGGGTGTCAATGGACCAGTTTTGGATTGGACCCTGTGTAAACCAAAATCAATTTGAACGGATTGGACAGACCAACAAGACATTGAATTGGATAAATCTGGATTTAAGGTCTAAAGTGTTTATTGGATCAGATTGGACCTGATCCGTCCGTAATGAATTTATATTCGATTAGGTTGGATTGAGACAATATCTTGTCGATTGATAGAAGATAAGAATATATACGGGTGCAAATGCATTGGACGAATTCGGATTCGGATCACTTCCCCTCCCTAATTGATTGAATATATATTTATATTTATAAATATAAATATATATAATACAAATATATATGTTATTTATTTATTTATAAATATATTTTTTATATTATATTTTTATAAATTTATTATATTATTTATTTTTTATAAAAAACATGTATATATATGATGAAAATAATTAAAAAGTACTTATGTTTTTTGTTTTTACTTTACTTAAATTAATATGTTTTATTTTTCTTTTAATAATTTATTAATTTTAAAGAAAACAAGTCGGATCGATTCAGATTCAAAGATCCGACTTACATGAACAGTGTTGGATCGGATTTGAATTCGATCCGATCCAATCTGTTTACAACCCTAAGAATATAGGTGTCAATGGATCAGGTTTAGGTTAGAATTAATCTAAATTAAAACAAATTTGAACAAATTGGATGGTCCAAACATTGAATTGGTCCAYTCCAAAATGGTCTAAAACATTCATTGGATTGGGTTGGACCTGATCCATTTGTAATGGACTCACATTGGACCAAATCCAATTCAATTTATTCCCCTATGTGTACATCTGTCCCTCCCCAAACCCACATTGGCGAGAGTTTCGTGCATTGGGCTGCCACAACGACCCACATTAAGCAAATAAGAGTCTTCTATCATTTTCTTTACACCCACTTATGTTACAGAAATCAACTTTATCATTGATKAAGTCCACATTAACCTTGAACGATTCTGTAGAAAGGGGTGCTATCTTTAATTCTTTTCATAGATTATCATCTCCATTGTCTTGTGTAAACTTATTGGAGTCGTATGTCTAAAACTTTGATTTTCCATAAACCAAAGTTGTTATTTTCCTCAAGTTTTTCTACTTTGAATCAACGTTATCAGACCCAAATTGTTCACAAATTTGTAAAAGCTATTGGATTACAATTCAAATGGTTCGATCACTGGTTTTGATTCAATGAATGATGACATCATATTTACATTTATATTATAGCATATCTATAAGTTGTGGTCAGTTGGATATTGATTTTGTTTTCATATAGATAATTGAGGTATGACTTAGTGAATTTTGTAAACCACATTTCTATAATAGATTACTGTAGAGCTGGAAGTACATGTAGAGCTGTAAATTAGGCTGTGTTGGGCCAGTACGACATGGCCTGTGCTTTTGGTGGGCCATGCCATGCTAGCTTGCAGGCTGAGTCAGGGTGTGCTTCTCTTCCTTAGGATACTTTGAGGGGTCAGCCTGGCATGGCCCGAGCCCATACAGGCCTGTACTGGGCTGGTTTGAGCCTTTGGTCAGRCCGGTTATAGATTGGGCCAAGCCATAAGAGGTATATTTAAAAAAAAAAAAATTAAAGTAAAAATATACAAAAGATTAAAAAAGGTCTTAAATTTTATTTTACATGAATTTTGATATATACAATTATTTATATAAACTTCAGGCCCAGTTGCATTCTAATGGTAATCGAAAGTTGGAAGCCCCCTTACGGTGCCCATTGGGAGGGCTGAAGCGCAGCTGCTTGTGGCTTTCTGAGGCGGCCTCACACAGATAGCCTATCAGCTATGTTTGGTGAAAAATGGGGGAGTCCAAATTGGCTGTAGTTCAATTATTTGATGGAGACTGTCTCCCAAAAAACTAAAAAAGAAAAAAAAAATCATTTGATGGGCTGTCCACTTTAACTTCTTTGAATAGTTTATTCTAAGCGCTTCAAAGCAGCTGAACAAATTTAGTTGAATCTTTAGCTAAGTTCTCCCAAACGGGCCCATGGTCATTTTTTTGACAACTTAGCATCGTAAAACATTTAAGTTACTAAAAAACCATAGGTTTCAATGGTTCATGTGGGCAATGGTGAGTCATCTAATTTTTAAAAAATTCAAAAAACAAAACAAAAAAGATTTACAAGGCCAATGGGTTCTGGTTTTGCTGATCTGACCCTTCTTTGAGTCCAACTTTAACAACAACAACAGTGCCTTACCTTGTAATGGGAACCTCATAACTGTCGAACCTGCGCAACCCGAGCTTGATTGAATTAACTCCACTTATAGCACAAACCTTCCGCGAAAAACCAAAGGAAAAAATGAYGAATTTAAGATGTGATACATCTTAGGGGGTGTTCTTTTTCGGATTTTAAGAGGGGGAAAGTTGGTCAATGGGATTTTGGTTCCTATTGACCAAGAATCCTATATTCTTTTTTTCAGATTTATGTGGAGGCCATGGAAAGTTTATTTTCCTACGTGGGTAAATAACTTTCCCACCTAGGGGGAAAGTTGCACACTTGAATGGGACAAAAATGCCCTTTTTAATAATAGTTTTTTATGACTAAAAAGTTCCTTGCCTAATTAACATGAGAAATAAAAGAACATGGGTARATGTACTTACCCATATAAGTGTTTTCTAGGAAAAACTTACCCAGATAATTGCATTTACTCGGATAAATAACTTACTGGAAAGCRAATGGGGCCTTAGTGGAAATACAATCACAAGTTTGATGGCACCACAATGAAATGAGAAAAATAGAAAGACGGATTTGGGTGGTTCAACAAAATGTCTGCATACGAGCGAAGATGATCAAATAATTCTACTACATTAAATACTTACAAGCATGGTAGAGACAACTCTGTTTGCAAGAACAAAGTAGCATTCCTCTCAAGCATGGTTTTTAAAAACGAACCGGTGATCGAACCGGTCAGGGGTCCGGTAATCAGTTTGAACGGTTTGATCGTTCGATCCGAATAGCTGGCCCGTTCTGACAAAAAAAATTGAAAAACTATCAAAACCGTTTGAACAGTTAACCGGCCGGTTCAGCGGTTTACTGACCAAAATCAACGGTTTTAGGGGAAAAAACGGTTTTGGAGGAAAACGGAACCGGTTACCTGACCGGTTCCTGGTTTTTCCAGTCCGACCATCCGGTCAGGTCCGGTTTTGAAAATAGTGCTCTCAAGTGACACTCTTATGATATCCTACAAAAGGATCCTTGCACCCAAAATGCCAAAAAAAAGGGTGCAAGTTGGATACTTGATTTAATGAATTTGTATTGCATCAAGGCTCGGGTTGTCAAGCTGGCCCATTCAAATTTTAACAAATGGTCAACCTAAGCCTGCCCAAATTGCATTCTTACCAACAACATAGAAACACGGGATATGGACATCGGTAGAACCCCAAAGCTGTAACTAGATACACCTAGAGGGTGTGTTTGGTAATAGCGGCACTGTGTTGCGATTTCAATTTGGGTTTATAAATACAAATTTATGAGAAATGTGTGTTGTCACGTTATATATGAATGCCATTTAATTTGGAAATATACATGTGACTGTTAAACATCAATTTGACATTTTAATAACAATTTGTATTAATCAACTCATAATCGTTTCAAAACATTTCAGGTTGAAAAATCTGTCCCTCACAGACAAAACATAATGA